GGCGACCAGCCCATGGTACTGTCCGGGTCTGGTGCACCACATGCTGGCGACGATTATGCCACTGGGTCCAATATGGAGTCAGATGGTCTCCGAAAAAGTGACGTCAAACGCCGCAGTTGAGTCGCACATGTGCATCCTAAAGCACCGGGTGCTTCGTGGCCGCAGCCATCTCCGGACTGGCGACTTTGTCAGAAAGTTAATAATGACCACAGCTGACCTGGCGAAGGTGGAAGCGATCGCGACCAAACCAGCGCCACGAGGCAAAAAGCGGAAGGGCGAGGAGCATGCTCTAAACAACCCCGGAGGCCAGGTGGAGCAATGGTGGGTAAGAAACCCGAAGGCTCAGAAGCAATTATGGAACGCCAGAATGCGCCAGCCAAGCTGCCATTTTGCTACCGCGACCAGGCCCCCGGGCTAGCGAAGCCAAAGTGACCGGTCCCCGGGCTGTCGGTGACACCACGAACCACCCGCAGGCTGGCGGTGACACCGCGACCGACCCTCGGGCTGCCGGTGGTACTGCGACCGGCCCCCAGGCTGCCGGTGACATCACGACCGACCCACGGATTGGCGGTGACAACGCGACCGGCCCCCGGACTCCTGGTGACACCGCGACCGGCCCCCGGGCTCCTGGTGACAACGCGACCGGCCCCCGGGCTCCTGGTGACAACGCGGCCGGCCCCCGGGCTGCCGGTGACATCACGACCGACCCACGGATCGGCGGTGACAACGCGACCGGCCCCCGAGCTCCTGGTGACACCGCGACCGGTCCGTTGGCAGCGACCACAGCCAAGGGCGACACCCACTGGCTGCCCCATCGACTCAAGATAAGGACAGAATGTTCAGCTCCACTGCCAGTCTTAGTACTTTGGACGGTGATACTGGCTTGATGATCTCATAATTGGCTATCTGCAGGCTGCGGTGGCAGCCTCTGGAAGAAGTGCTGTGAATTTTGCGGCCTACTGGCTCTCCCTTATGAGAGCATATCCCCTAAAAAGTGAGCTCGCAAATATTCTGCGCAAGCAGGGAGCTGGCAAGTGCCAAAGTGCGGATGCTTCCTTACAACCGCCGCGGCAACCGCTGGGCACTAATCGTGGTATGCCATGAACAAAAAGCGATCCTTCACCTGGACTCGATGTTTCCGGATCCCGACGTCCCTGTCATTGGGCACGTCCAGGGGATAATCGAAGCCGCGCAAGCCGACCCCCGTGCCGAAATGCGCTGGGAAGACTGGGCGCTGGTGGTCCCTGGTAACACACCGCAGCAGAGAGATGACTCCTCATGTGGTCTCCACACATGCTGGCATGCCGGAACGGCAGTGACGGGTGTCCAGCGCACATTCGACAAGGTCAACATCCGCAGGGAGCTCCGCGAGAAGATCTTACAGGTAAGTTCGGCGAGCAGATCTCATACAGTGCTTACTCAGTTTCCGGACAAAAACTTCAAAATTACGAGACATCAAGATTAATTCGTTACCTTATGCATAAACGTATCAGAATCAGTGGGTTCCAACAAATTAATTTGCGAGTGTGCCCACTTAAGTATTGCTCAAAATGGAACGAATCCATCCTAAAACTAATAATATTAAAATCTATGTCGAGATTCATTTCAATAATAATGATTCAATAGAATACAAACAATGCTGAATTATGGCAAATATATCATTTTGATACTCAATAACAGGCCAATGGCCTGCACCCCTCTTTGTCATTAGTGGTAGATCATGACACCAATTAAGTTATCCCGAAACCACGTTAGAAACGGACAAATTGTGGGTGACCAGTTCAGTCCAAACGCGTGTGGATGGAACCGGCATTTGCTTTCAAGGACCTGTCTTTTTAAGCCGTCTTGAATTATTGAATTATACATCATGGGAAATTGACAGTGTCACATTTTGGTACGAACATCATCTTGTGCATCACATCCAATCTCTTTCCATGCATAGCACCACAAAGGATGGAACCTGTTTCAGACACGTACGTCACTGAAGCCAATTTGTCTCACATGGAACATGGAGCATGCGGCGCAAAGAGAAAATGGCTGATCGGTGATGGCCCTGAAGACCATCACCGACATAAATATGTCAGTGCAAGACTACCTGCACAAGATGCACAAGTGCTTGTGACATGTTGGGACCGAGAGCCTGTCCGGGCGCCATAAAAAGCCCTGTGTGGTCTATACAGGTACCACATATACCAGGAATGTGCACTTGTGCGGGACGGGGTAGTGCATGTGTGCCAAGTGCACGTAGTCTCACCTGGCCTGTGTACCCTGCCCATTCCTGTCTAGCCCAGATATCGAACTCATTGGTCTGCTGGAGTCTATCTTATCACTGCCTGAACAATGTGTTACGACATACGACGGGTCACCCCTGGCCGACTCGGGATTCCTTCCGTCACAGGACCCCCTGTTGGACACTCTGGGGGCCTGACCGTCAAAAGACCACTCACTGTTGTAGGGACTCCGACCAATGTAAATCGTGGGCCTCAGTCTCGTTCCTGTTAGAAAAATGGGGCCACAGGGCTCACAACAACACGGAGTCAACTATTCGGTGTAGTGGTCTCCGGCCGAAATAGGTGCCCGCACTGTACCAGGGGCCGACAATCGGGGAAAAAGGCATATTGGCTGACATTTGGGATCACAGCCATGCGGGCCAGGATGGACTGCAGGCTTTCGACCCTTTCGGCCATTCAGCCTTCCCATCCGCCCGTTTATCATCAGTCTTGAAGGGCACATCGGTCCCTCTTCGGGCACTCTCGTACAGGCTCCCTGACTAACTCGGGGGCCCTTGTCAATACCGGACCTCCGGTTAGGCGCTGTGTGCCCCTGGCCGACACAGGGGCCCCTCATTGGCTCGGGGCGCACTAATCAATGTAAATCGCGGGTCCTGACCTTGTCCCTGCTTGGGAAATGGGCTCCCAAGCCCAGACCGGGGCCCAATCAGTGCAACGGGCCCTCTCGCTGGTATTTGAGGGTCCGACCCGCGCCCCCTCACTGACCTTTAGCCCGCACTTCGGGTCCCATATCGGATTGACGGTGCTCCCATTTGAGATTTCGTCGTGGTTACCTGAATGACACTTCAGGCTTAGGATCAGTCACCTTCTCCCCACGACAGTCCGACATCAAGGGCAAACTGAATTCGGGGGAAGCGCAAAAAAGTGGAAAATAACTGACGTATCTCCCCAAAACGTACGGTAACAAGCAGGGGCGGATCCAGAAAGGGGGGTCACGGGGCATGGCTGCCCTTCCTCCGCTTGGGCCCCGAAGGAGCCCATTGGCTCCGAGGGGCCCATAGCCGGTCGAACAGGTGCAGTTTTTTAAGCACGAAACGCAACAAAACTGGGTGTCTCCGGACTTGACCCCATGTATTCAGCTGTTCCCGGACCCCATTTATTCAGCTGTTCGGCCGCCGGTGGCGGATGCAGAGGGTGGAGGGGGCGTGGGGGGGGGGGGGGAGTCACAGGACCACGTCCCATGAACCATGCCGAGGGAACGTAAAGGCTCCGAAGGGGCCCATAACCGGCCGGACAGACGCAGTTTCCTGACAACAAAAGCACAACAAAACTGGATGCCTTTGGGCCTACAGATGACCAAGAACCATTGCTAGCAAAAGTAAAGAGTTCATACGTCAACGAAGTTCATTCTTTGCTGACTGAGAAAATGTCTGGCCTTGAGTTCTTTTTGCTTGCTCTGAGGACCCTATACTTGTTGAAGAGAGACACCTTGTACCTTGTTGGTCTCCTGCGGCACCCATGACCGTTCAGGCTCCGTCCCTATTAGCCTTAGTGCCTCCGCCTTTGAGCAGCAGTCGAATACGCGCCGATGAATTTTTACGCGCAATTGCCGAACGTAATTCTGCATGCCGGCGCCGTCGTGTGCGTCATTTCCACTGGCTATTGAGTGTGTCACACTCATTTAGATATACGGTCAACTTTCACCGGATCCTCAATATATTTGTAGGGTGCGGACTCCCTCCCCCTGGCGTTAGAAACCACGGTGCTGTTTGATATGAACAACCCAGGTTATATTTCTTTCCGCTTAGAAATGAAGCGAGTTGACGTCATCACGCCACGCCGATAGACCATGAAGCCACCCATTTAGCAGCGGCCGTCGTCGAGATTTGAACCCGGGCTTACCGCGTGCGAGACCAGCACGCTAGCCATCGAACCACTGGAGATGCGAGCCCGGCGACCGAAAATTCGTCATCAGAATAGGACCGGTTCAGGGTAAGTTGATGGATTTCGTGATCGTTTGATGTCTTTCACGCATAGAGCCGACTTTTCGCACGGGACTCTGCATTTTTGTACTTGCTTCCCTCCAAGACTGCCAATCCGCGTGTGATTGACACGTCCAACCATCTGAAAGATTTTTTTGAGGGTGTATAAGCCCGGTGCGTATCCGCACTCCGTTTTTTTTTGGGGGGGGGGTATACACACTGCCTACAAGTTAAGGCGATAGAACACGGCTGTTTGATTGTCATGGACGCTGTTTTCTGCTTTAAAAGGCTCATTCCTGTACAAATTGTTCATGTAAAGACAGGCGAACTTAAGCTTCACCCTCAAGCTCACTTAAGTTGTTATACAGCCTTGAGTTAACCGAAAAGCATTGCTGTCCTGTAGCAGTGCTGGGCAAGGCTGATCCGTTTGTGACAATCCGACGTAATATAAACTTTTGTAGAACCATGGCCATGCGCCATGGAAAAATACTGCTTTGTGTTTTTGTACTTTTTGTGCCACTCGTGATTGATAGCGCGAGTTTGCCTTGATTCAGTAGTTTCACCTTAACATTGCGTCGATTCGTGTTTTTTTTTTTTGGCTTTTGCTAGTTTTGGTTTCCTAAATGACCGCGCAGCCACTATGATCATTGTTTTTCTTGATCCTTAGCGACTGTAGGCTGCCAGAGCTGTGGCGGGTCCCGGGTCTTGGCGTTCACTTGGCTGCTTGAAAAGGAGGGGAGGCAGGGTAAGATAGTACCGTTACGTAATGGAGACTAAACAGAGGTAGCCACCAGCATATCTGAAAAGGACGAGGTATTTATTCCTTTTGATCTTCATTATGCTATTGGTGAAGGATGTGTCGTGCTTACGCACATATGATGCACTTGCAGCATTGGTGGATGGCAAGGGGTGTTATCATTTGAATGTTTGTCGGTATGCCTTAGGAGGGAGTGCCTCTTTTCATTATGCAAAAATGACACCCACTGTGCCAGACCATGAAGTGACATTTAAATGCTCCAAAATGGTTCTGATATCACTGGTACACAGGACATGTTGAGTGTATGGCAAAATGTTTTTCAGTGTGGCTCCTGTATTAAATTGGTGATTATTATGCATTAATATGTCTAGTAGTAATATAAATGCCAAAGCCTCCAGCATTCCTTTCATGATGGTTATGGTGGCAGAGGAACATTTAAAAATGCTTAGGTAACTAGCCACCATGCCATGCCATTGATCAGTCAGGCCAGGACCCATGAAGATCTTGGACGGCCCAGTCACAGGCACAGTCATTAGCGTGGATGCAAAACTACATTGAGATTGTGGTGGGGAAGCACAAAGGAAACAACCGTGTACCAAGAGGGTGATAATTTGGGTCTTCTATCCAGTTACAGCAGAAAGTTCCTGGGTCTTGCAACTTCAAGTAAATAAATCAGTTTTAGTTATGTCAAGGCCACAACCTGATGGCAAGTTCTGATGTTGCAGATAGTTAATTGTAATAGGCATGTGCAGGAATGCATCAGCACTCAGCAGCACACAGTACTTGCCATCCACCACTGCTAGTGTGAATAGAAGTGGTATAATTCCTTTAAAAGCATGACATAGCTTATACTGTCTTTTGTGTGACCTGAAAGCCAATGTGTCTGTAGGCAGCCAGTCTTTCCAAGCTGGAGTGTTTTGGCATTTTGGCCCTGCTATCTATTAATCCAGTATCTTACCAATAGTTCTGGTCTATTGTCTGTTCAAATTAGGGTATTGTAGTGTGCCCCTAATAGCCTAATGACATTAGACAGCTTAAAGTGTGCCTGGGATACAGGGTATACTGGTTGTCTTATAAACAGTTGTGCTTTTGGTGTAGCAGTACATTTATCATCACAAGCACTTACTGCTCAATAAATTGTGTTGGAGCACTGAATGTCTTCAGGGGCCATTGCATCAGCCAGATGTTATAGAGGCATCTTACCTGGTTAGCTGTGAGCATATTTGAGGCAGTCTAGCTTTTGTGCAGTTGTCTCACATTGTATCATCATGCTCTCAAACCATACTAGGGTCAGAGACTTTCCCACACATCCCAAGGTGTGGTTTCCTAATGTCTGTGAAAGTATGGATGCATGAGCCATTTGTATGCTCTGATCTCTTGTTGTTCCTTGCATTCATGAGACCTGGAATGTGCAATGTGAGGATTTATTGGCTACTTTCAAACATCATTGCACTAGGAAGATAACTGATGCTTGGAGTATTCCCCCACAAAATAGTTCTCCATAGTTCACAATGGACATGTGGCTTTGTGCATCATTTGGTTGAACTTCATCCAGAAGCTGTTCATGTGCACATACTATGCAACTTGATTTTTTAGAATGCCTTATAAAGACTTGTATCAGAGCTTCTTCAGTACTGGTGGGCTCAGTATGGTGATCAGATTGGTGCAGCCTGTAGCTTTTGAGCTGTCCGCTAAACAACTTCAGATTTTTAATGGAACTTGTAGCTTGGCATAGTTAGCAGTGTCAGGTATGTCTTATGTCAGATGTCCATGATCTTTCCCTGTCAGCAGACAGGAAGGTGCATGCATGATATGCATGCACCTCTTATTGTCCTATTGTCATCCATGTGTCATCCTTTGTCTGTCCTGTTGGCGATGGCTCATTTGATTAGAGCACCTGCCCTCTGATCAATTTGCCTGTGACAGGGTAGATTTGGGTCACCTTAGGTGCTCTCAAGCCACTTAAGGTGGTTGCTATTTGCCCGAGACAGGTGGCTAGTCCGAGGCTGGTGGGAGCCAACACATTAAATGTCAGGTGACCTCGGAGGGTAGGACGGGCTGGCTGAGCACTGCATCACATAAAACTTTCACTTCCAAATCCGGCTGTCAACCTGGAATTGTGTGGTCGGATGCTAGTGACCAGGGCTTATATAATGAGCTCTGCCTAGCTTCAGCTCTGATCGCGGAAATTCATCCATTCAAAAGGCTCGGATTAAATCTGAAAAAGCTATGTTGTGTTCATGTCAGACATGTGATGGTGCTCCCTGTCTGCAGATGGGGCGGCACATACGGCGTGTGGTGTGCGCCATGTCTGGCGGGGTGGACAGCAGCGTGGCTGCACTTCTGCTGAAGCGGAGGGGTGAGCAGGGGGCTCGGGCGCTATGCTAATGCCCAGCTGATGTCATTAGAGCAGGAGATGAGCATGACAGTCGTGCTATTTCTTGTTACCAATGACCCGGAAGTCGCTTGGGTTGCAGTCCATTTTGAGAACAGTCATCAAAAGTTTCCTGAGGAGTGAAATGTTTATGTCCCAATCATAATCCTGATTACTCAAGCCACTCAGTGTGCAGCAGCACCTCTGACGGACGGGTATGAAGCTGGTTTCCGCGCCTGCGGCAGGGTACGAGGTGCTCGGGTTCTTCATGCGCAACTGGGACGTGCGAGACGAGCAGGGCGTGTGCCGCGCCGACCAGGACGCCGAGGACGCCGCCTGGGTCTGCCACCAGCTGCAGATCCCCTTCCAGGAGGTCAACTTCGTCAAAGAGTACTGGAACGAGGTGTTCAGGTAATGCTGATGGGAGGAAGCGACAGGAGGCCAGAGGCTGTGATGAGGCTGTCTGTTGGAGGCTACCATCTGGGACGGACAGCCTCGGGCCGCGGTTTTCCTGCTGGGGCCTCCTGCTGCGCGGTCGGACAGTGCTGTGCCTCCCGGACTGCATGCCTTGCTTATCTCTTTACTTGCTGCTTTTTTGTGTAGCTTGTCTGTGTGGCGCCGCACCTGTCTTTTGTAAGTAGATAGCATGAACAAAGGGCTGGCGAACTGCACGCTCGATAATGTGATACCCTTGTTGCAATCTGTCGCCGGCCCGAACACTGCGTGAAGAAATGGTCTCGCGAAAGTGGAGAGGGGTTGCACTCTGGCTCTTATTGTGGGCGAGCAGTGTCAGGTGCAGCGGTGGTGATCCGTGTCCTGTCTGTGAGCACTCAGGTTGTCATGAGTCTATGTGCTGAATGACAACATACTCTGTGTATCTGTTTCTGGGATTTCAGTCACGACCTATGCAGACAATACATACTGATTTAGTAATATACAAATGCTGTCATTGGCAGTTAGAGAAAATAACATAGCTGTGATTGACAAACTGCTATGCTATGTGTTAATGTGGAGCCACATTTGGATGCATCATGATGCGTCACTTGTATCAGACATCTGTCTCCTTTTTTCGATGCGTTTATGGGTCGAATGACCTTGAAAATGTAGGTGTAGGGTGTTTGTAATCATATCATCCCAGAAGGTTTCATCAGATTCCCTTGAACGGCACGAAACTTCCATAGCATAGCACAGCTCAGAACCCCCGTTGGCTCATGACAGTCACCTCGTCTATTGCACCCCCGTTGTGATGCCAGGTCAATTCCGTTGACGCGATGGAGCAGAGGCCAGCGTGTCCGACACTCGGCCGGTCTCCGGACGTCCCGCCCACCTCTCCCGCTGCGAGACGGTCCGGGATTACGAGTACCGTCCACCTCTCCCGCAGCGAGACGGTCTGGGATTACGAGTACCTCCCATCTCTCCCGCAGCGAGATGATCCGGGATTAGAAGTACCGCCCGCCTCTCCCGTAGCGAGATAATCCGGGAATACGAGTACCGTCCATCTCTCCCGCAGCGGGATGATCCGGGATTAAGGGGTATCGCCCACCTCTCCCGCAGCAAGATGGTCCAGGATTACGGGTACTGTCCACTTTTCCCATAGCTAGATGATCCGGGACTACGGGTACCGCCCGCCTCTCCCACAGCGAGATGATCCGGGATTACGAGTAACGTCCATCTCTCCCGCAGCGGGATGATCCGGGATTAGGGGTATCGCCCACCTCTCCCGCAGCAAGATGGTCCAGGATTACGGGTACTGTCCACTTTTCCCACAGCTAGATGATCCGGGACTACGGGTACCGCCCACCTCTCCCACAGCGAGATGATCCGGGATTACGAGTAACGTCCATCTCTCCCGCAGCGAGACGGTCTGGGATTACGAGTACCGTCCATCTCTCCCGCAGCAAGATGATCCGGGATTACGAGTAACGCCCACCTCTCCCGCAGCGAGACGGTCTGGGATTACGAGTACCTCCCATCTCTCCCGCAGCAAGATGATCCGGGATTACGAGTAACGCCCACCTCTCCCGCAGCGAGACGGTCTGGGATTACGAGTACCTCCCATCTCTCCCGCAGCAAGATGATCCGGGATTACGAGTAACGCCCATCTCTCCCGCAGCGAGACGGTCTGAGATTACGAGTACCTCCCATCTCTCCCGCAGCAAGGTGATCCGGGATTACGAGTAACGTCCACCTCTCCCGCAGCGAGATGATCCGGGATTACGAGACGGGCTTTACGCCCAATCCAGACATCTTGTGTAACCGGCACATCAAGTTCACGGCCCTGTACGAGCACGCGCGCCACGCGGTGGGCGCCGACGCCCTAGCAACCGGCCACTACGCTCGCACCTCCGCCGGCGAGGACCTCACCGAGGCCAAGGAGAGATGTGAGTCGGACTACCTCACAACAGTCCTCCAGTACATGTCAGAGAGACCAGTTTCCTAGAAGCATCAATGACAAGAACCCATGCGTGTTTGATGTTTTTTTTGTTGTATGTGTTCATCATAGCTGGCGGAGTGCGTTAGCCCGCGCCGACGTGTGTTCATCATAGCTTGCTGAGTGTATTACGCAGTGCCGGTCAGGGAATGCTGCGGCGCTCGCCGCCAAGTAGGCTAGATCATGGCTCCCAGCTACAGTTTAAGCAGTTCTTACATGCCAGGTATGTGTCGTGTACGATATTTTGTTTTACCACAGTACATGTCGTGTCATGAACTCTCAGAAATGCACTTGTGCATTAGATGAGATCAGCGATGCCCCTCGGCATCCTTGCTGGCAAAGCCGTACTGCTAGCAGCGACCCCATCTGCTGCACCGTCCGGGCCTCCGCCAACGCGGCCTGAGTCGCCCGCCGGGGTGGACGGCGAGCTTGTGGGGCCGAGGGTTGACTCCGCTGTGCTGGGCTGCGGCAGCGGTGCGCCTGCTGCGAGCGGTGGACCGGCACAAGGACCAGACGTTCTTCCTGTCGCAGGTGCCGCAGAAGGCGCTGCGCCGCACCATGTTTCCGCTGGGTGAGCTGGCTGCCGCCGCCGTGGGTGGGCGTCCCGCCCCCAGCACGAGGGCCGACCGGGCGCCAGCGTCCCCAGGGTCGGGTGTGATGGGGCTGGGCTGCCGAGCAATCCCCGCTGGTGGCCCCTTTGTGGTGCCGGCGGCTCTCTCCCTCCGAGCCCTACTGACGGAGGTGGCTGTGTGTAGTGCTGGCGGCTCCTTCCCTTTCCGAGCCCTGCTGACGGAGGTGGCTGCGTGTGGTGTCGGCGGCCGGCTCTCTCCCTTTCTGAGCCCTGCCGACGGAGGTGGCTATGTGTGCGGTGCCGACGGCTCCATCTCTGTCGCTTTCGCTCCACGCGATTCGCTTCCGCTCGCTGCTGTCTACCGGAGTTAGCCAGTCTCGGTGGGGGACCGTGAGAGTGGTGGATGCCCACTGAGCCGACCCCCCCCCCCCCGCCCGTCCTAACTTGCACGGCGTCCCCTTACGTGACGGCTGGCCCTTCCGCCTCAGGGGAGTTCACCAAGGACGTCGTGAAGAAGGTTGCCCGGAGTGCGGGGCTGCAGCGCATTGCCGCCAAAAAAGAGTCCATGGGCATCTGCTTCATCGGCAAGCGTGACTTCGGCGAGTTCATTGCGCAGGTGGGTGATGGGACAGGCCGCAGGTGGGTGATGGGACAGACTGCTGGTGGGGGATGGTACAGGCCGCAGGTGGGTGATGGGACAGGCCGCAGGTGGGCGATGGGACAGGCCGCAGGTGGGTGATGGGACAGGCCGCAGGTGGGTGATGGGACAGGCCGCAGGTTGTCCCGAGGGAGACGGCAGGCTGGCGTCAGACGCCTCGATTCGTGCAGCGCCGCGGCGGACTGGGTTCGGTGTAACGTCAGTGGCTCACAGCGGCTTCGCCCGCGCGCTGGGTACGTAGCAGTCATTGACATCCTGCGGGTGTATCCGTCGGTATGCAGGATGTCAGTGGGCCAGTGCCGAAAATCGTCGGCGCACAGACCGTCATGCAAACGTGTTGATCGGCATCGGCCATCAGATGCCGGGATTGTGAGCAGTTTCAGCAAGTTAGCTGAACACTGCACTGGGAGAGATTGTGAGCTTGTATTGGTCTTAAATCTGCTGGTTGTTGGCACACAAGCAGTTGTTCTGTGGTGGTACATATACAACAGCAGAATATTTTATTTGCCCATTAAAGTATATTTGGTCTCGTCTGGTGATTAGTTATGTGTTGGTGTCGGAATCGGGTGATCAATAAGACAATGATGCATTAGTATTTTAATCGGGTGATCAGTGAGAGAGGCGTTCAGAGCGGTGAGGCGCTCGGCTCTGACGATAAACATTATATTGCCGAGGCACCAGTAATGTTTCAGGCACAGTGTGTTTTTTTTTTAAAACAAAATATCTGGAGAAGGTTCTGTATTATGTTACGGTGCATTCAGGTACTCCAGTTCCCCATTTGAAGCAAAACCCGGTATTGCTGACACTGTTAAATGAAATGTGTTTTTCTTTTCATGCCCTTCGTGGATAGTCTAAAACGGCCCAGCTGGTAAATATCTGCTACCGAGAACATTTTATTTTGTACATTTACGTGTTCGCCTGCTTGTACTCTTTTATGTTACATACTCAACTATCATTATCATAACTATATCACCACCGCTGGCGCTAATCTGTGGTCTGTTGGTTATCATTAGTATGTGGCTTTCGATGGCCATTTGGCATGGCAACCTGTGAGTCTTGTATGCATTTTAAGATGATGTTGAAACATGAGCAAACCCGGGGTATTGTTCCGTCTCCCTGTTGACCCTTCCGTGCTGCAGCTTGCCTTTGTTTTTGTGTTATGCATTTGATGCTGTTTTGTTATTACAGATCATAAACAGATCTTGCAGTGTCGTGCTGCCAATGTCAAATAGGTAGAACACTAACCCATCCATTCCTTGCTGATACAAACGACACATTTCCGGCATTGACTTGTCCTGTCGTCGGTGTCTTAATTAAGAAACACGTTGAGAGTCACATCACCTTCTTTGAATGTGCTATAAAAGCTTGACATGGTCTAGCGGATATGCTTTTTCGTCGTGATAAAAACACCCGGCTTTTTCAGTTTCTTCATGCTTGGGTTAAATCTTTTACCCTAGCACTCACCAAAGCCTCAGCGGTGGCTCATGTTATTTTTTAAAGCATATCTTCTAGCGCGGATTTTTTTCGTCTAACCGTCACGCATGAACAGACGAGGACTGTCCATCCCACTGCACCAGTGGCGCAGTAAACGCCATCGCAGCGCCAGAATACGTGAAATAGCGGGTCGTGGTACTTTGCTATGAGGTGGAAGTAAAAATAACTACCATAGAAAGACTGGGGGCCGGGCAGGGGCAGTGTTTTTCATGCATGCAATGCTGTACAAAGCTGGAAGTAGTCGTAGCTGCAGTGGGCAGATGCCTGGCCGATAGTAACCACTGTAGGCCGCATTACCGGTCGTTGTGATGGGTTTGCGCAGCTAATGCATGCATCGAGCTGCTGCGGGACGTCCGGTAATGCGGCCTGCACTAGCCAGACTGCGCTACAGCCGGTCACCTTGCGATGGTTGACGGTGGCGGCCGGCCTTGGCTGGGACATCGCCGCTGATGATGGCCATTCGACCGGCGATTGACATTGGGTGCTGAGTGGGTATATATTGAAAGTAACCGGGTATAAACGGTGTATGTTGTTCTGCTTTGATAGTGATTGGTTGTGGGTGCAGGTTTTTGAGGCGGCTCGAAAAGCGTGACGTGACACCTATTCATCCGTTACAAAAACACTTAATACATCGGCGGGAGGTCGAAAATCTGGAGAACTGTACTCGAAATTGTTGGTAACCTCGATTTTGGGTTTATTGAAATACAGACGTCCCGTGCTGTGTGATGGCTGGTACTCGATGATACTAATGTGTGATGTCCAGTCGTCAAAGCATAAGCAGTTTTCAGACAGAGGTCATGCGCACCGCCCGCCCCATTTTGATCCGTCTCCGCGTCCGCCGGCTGGCGTGGTGTATGGCCAGACCATGCTGAACCGTTTGGGGCCCAGCAGTAGTGTGTGCCGGTCACGCTGCACTGCCGGGTCGGACGGGGTCGATAGCAAACCCACCGACCCCGGGGGTGTCGGCCGCCGTGGCCGTGATGGACGCCCGGCGGCCTGGCTGCGTCAGGCCGCGCGCTCCGTCGACCAGACCGCAGCGTCCGACTGCGCCTGGTTTCCATGGCGACTGCTCGTGTGGCGCGCTCCCAGCCGGCCGCCGCCAGCTCGAATTTGTAGCGTTTTTTGCGATCATGACTGATGATGTCGGGACAGTCTTCTACAGGCGGTTGGTCGCTCGCTTTTCGTTAATGTTGATGGTGCGGCTTTGCCACGACAGCATCCATGTCGCGCCAGTTGCAGTTGGCTGTGACTTAGAAAGGTAGAGCTCGCTCAACGGTTTACGGTTCTCGACCTCGAAGACAGTTTCCATCCACTTCTGTCGACACCGGCGTCAGTGTCCTGACATGACGCTTAAGCTTTATGGACAGCCGATCCCTTGCAATACGCTGACACGGTTCTTGGGGTTAAGCTTTGATGAGTGTTTCGCCTACAGGGACCATCTTATCATTCTGCTGACGAGTGTTTGAAGACATCAAACATCTTGAAATGCGTGGCACGAACATCCTGTGGAGCAGATCGGGCAGTGCTTTTATTGCTGTACCGTTCATTGGTTAGATCTAAATTTGACTTTGGATGTTTTACATGAGGCCGTGCACCCACTTTCAAACGTCGTTTAGACACCATATATCACATAGCAGTGCGCATAGCGACCGGTGTGTCCAGAACGTCTCCAGGTGCAAGCATTCTGGTAAAGGCAATTTTCATGCGCATTCTGGTAAAGGCAACTTTCATGCGGGTGAGCTGGCGCAGTTCTCAAAACACCCCACCTACCCGGCAGTCTCTCCACGACGTGTAACGAGAGTACAGAGACGATCGGAGATTACGCGTTGTGCCATTTTCGGTTCAGGTCCAGGAGCTATTCCGAGAGAGTGGTTTCAGGTCGAAGGGAGTGCTCAGGTCAAGTCACCTGAGAACACCCTCTTGGGAACTATGTGCACCAAGTGTGATCACGTTTGGCTAGAGGGCTAGGGCGCTGGAGCTTGTCTCGTCATGCCAGGGGTATGTAACGGCCTTTACTAAGGGACACAGGGCTGGGTGGGGTGTTGGCTTCGTGTTCGTGTGTGGCCGTGCCACTCGTTCATTCTCGCTGCCACAACACGCCTCTGTTCACACCGCAGTGTTGCTATCATTAGAGCACATTGCTATATTGACGTCGCTTATGGCGACCGACACTTGGTCTTATCTGACTCCCTCAGCAGGCTCATGGCTCCCAAGGCAATTTACCCTCATGTCCTTTTTTAAAGGACATTTTAACTCGTTTGACATGGTTGATCGGCATGGGCAAAACTGTAGTGCTTCCAAGCCATGTAGGGAAACTGGGCAACGAGCTTACGGAGGCTGCCGCAAAACGGGGCACTCGTGCGCCTGGCACACATTCCTGTCCTCTGCCAGCTGGGAACTTCCACCCAGCCATCATAGCTTATTTAAAAAGAAAATGGCAACGCTACCGGGAAGACGAAAGCAGCACCAAGCTAGGGAGGATGAAGCCGATGTTGAGCCTTTGGCTGTCTAGCTCACGAGCCTTGAGGTGTGAGGAGGCTGCTCCGTGCCGTCTGCGAATGGGTCATACACACGCGACACATGGCGTCTTGTGTGGCGGCGTGAGACCTCAGTGCCCTTAATGTGGTGCATCGTTGACAGCTTCCCGTGTGCTCCACTCCCGTTCACATTTCAGAGAAGGACTGCGTCATTTTGGGCGGCAGGTGTTATGTTTGACTTGTTGCGCTATACTGGGAGGTGACTCTTCTTTGTTGCACTCAAGCCAGCTTCTTTTTCTGAGGGGCATCAACTTTTCAGTCGCGATAAACTGGGAGGTGACTCTTCTTTGTTGCACTCAAGCCAGCTTCTTTTTCTGAGGGGCATCAACTTTTCAGTCGCGATAAACTGGGAGGTGACTCTTCTTTGTTGCACTCAAGCCAGCTTCTTTTTCTGAGGGGCATCAACTTTTCAGTCGCGATGAACTGGGAGGGACTCTTCTTTGTTGCACTCAAGCCAGCTTCTTTTTCTGGGGGGCATCGACTTTTCAGTCGCGATAAACTGGGAGGTGACTCTTTCTTTTGTTGCACTCAAGCCAGCTTCTTTTTCTGAGGGGCATCAACTTTTCAGTCGCGATAAACTTGGAGGTGAGGGCTCTTCTTTGTTGCCTACTCAAGCCAGCTTCTTTTCTGAGGGCATCAACTTTCACAGTCGCGATGAACCGGGGAGGAGTGACTCTTTCTTTTGTTGCACTCAAGCCAGCTTCTTTTTCTGAGGGGCATCAACTTTTCAGTCGCGATAAACTGGGAGGTGACTCTTCTTTGTTGCACTCAAGCCAGCTTGTTTTTCTGAAGGGCATCGACTTTTCAGTCGCGATAAACTGGGAGGTGACTCTTCATTGTTGCACTCAAGCCAGCTTCTTCTGTTTCTGAGGGGCGTCAAGTTTTCAGCTGTGTTTACATCCTTGCTGGGTAAAACATTACGCAGCCATAAAAAGCCGATGCAATAACGCAGCAATACGCAGCAATAAAAAGCGATGGGCGCAACATGCCGTGCGATGTCGACGTGCCCTAAAATCCCAGATCATCACCAACCTGCGCTGCGCTGTACCACTGTTGGAATTACGTTCTTTGTTGCTGATTTCATCAGGCAGCTGCCGTATTTGGGGCGTGTTTCTGAGAGCTGCAAGTTAGCTCAGCGTGCTTACAGGCAGAGCTCAAAATGTCGCGTTCTTTCTTGGCCAATCGGACGTCAGGTGAATAGCAGCTGTGTTATCGCGGTGGCGTAGGCAGATTTTCGTCCGGATGGGGGGAGGCCAAGTCGAATCAGGGGTCCTCATAGCCAATGGAGGGGGAGGGGCAAGGAATTCAAAGACGGCAATTCTGAGACACTGACTATCTTACGGCGTAAAACGACCGCTGGTGTGGAAGGCGAGTCAGATCTCACCTCCGCACAGCCAGGTGCCGCAGTTGGTGACTGTTTTGGATTTCGACTCTATATCGACCATGTTCAGAAACTAGGTATTGTCCATGGAACTAATAAAATGTCGATGAAGGACCGGCGTCGGGCGGCTGGTGGCGTCGGCGGGTCCGTCCCCGGTACGTGGACCCGCGCATCGGCACCGCACGTCCCGATGACTGGTGGTGACGTGGTCGCTCGCGCTGCCCATTGACATGTGTTCACACCTGGTGTTCAGTACGTGGGCCCGCGCATCGGCACCGCACGTCCCGATGACTGGTGGTGACGTGGTCGCTCGCGCTGCCCATTGACATGTGTTCACACCTGGTGTTCAGTACGTGGACCCGCGACCGGGCAATTTCGTGGACCTGGAGACGCGTGAGGTGGTTGGACGGCACAATGGGATCCACCAGTGGACAATCGGCCAGCGCTGTAACATCGCCGGCCTGCGCGACGCCTACTTCGTCGTTGAGAAGCTGGCGGACTCGGGAGACATCTTGGTGGTAAGGGCTACCGTTGATGCGGCTACCCCGCGGCCAGAGCAACGCTGGCCGTACGGCCTTGGGCAGAATAGGGTAATCACGCTGGCCGTCACGGCCCTGGGCAGAAGTAGGGTAGTCATACTGACCGTCACGGCCTGGGGCAGGATAGGGTAGTCATACTGACCGTCACGGCCTGGGGCAGGATAGGGTAGTCATGCTGACCGTCACGGCCTTGGGCAGGATAGGGTAGTCATACTGACCGTCACGGCCTGGGGCAGGATAGGGTAGTCATGCTGACCGTCACGGCCTTGGGCAGGATAGGGTAGTCATACTGACCGTCACGGCCTGGGGCAGGATAGGGTAGTCATGCTGACCGTCACGGCCTTGGGCAGGATAGGGTAGTCATACTGACCGTCACGGCCTGGGGCAGGATAGGGTAGTCATGCTGGCCGTCACGGCCTGGGCAGGACGGGTGGTTCTGGTAGGCATGCTTTGTTCTAGCTCGCGCAGTTGACTGAATGCCTTTTGTCGTTTTGTGAGTATTAGTTGGATTGCGAACTTGATGGGCTGTGATTAGCTGGTTGATGCTTATCCTACATACATAATGTTGCTGTGTTTCGATGCAATGGACCATGGCGTAGATCTGGAAGTATCATCGTCCATTATTGGTTGCAGTAATATGATCTGATGTCAAATGATCTCTGGTAGTCAGCCGCGGGCGTTCAAACAGCCCTCAGTCGGTCGGCGCTCGCTGTTAGCTCGGAGTTACCGTATCACTGACCCGGACTTGTGACTGCTCTGCTAAGGAGCTCTGCATTCAAGCCCCGATCTCAGTTTGTGGGCGCTCGCCGTTAGCTCGGATTTACCGTACCACTGACCCGGACTTGTGACTGCTCCGCTAAGGAGCTCCTGCATTCAAGCCCCGATGCCTCGCGCTGCGTGTGGCCGTGACCGTGTCAGATGGCTGGCAGCTGCGCTGCTTGACCACGTCATTCCTGCACGCAGATGTTGGTCGTCGCTCCCCTCCAGTAGCAGACGGCGTGTGGCTAGGACACCCTTCCGCGCTATGAGTTGGCATTAAACCACGGCAGGGTCCGTGTGCGAGCTATCTATCGTGCCTCCGCATTTTATGCAGCGTCCTTACCCTATCCCCGCGTGGTCTAAATATGCGCATGCTGCATCTGCGTATGCGCTATGCCCCTTGTAACATGGCGTTAATGTTCCTTGGCATGTGTTGTGTGATGCCTGCGTCGCCCCTTTGTAATGTTCCGCATGCGTCAGTATTACCGCAGGTCGGCGTGGGGCCGGGATGCTCGCCGTCTGACCCGCGGTGACCTTACGTAGCCGGCGATACTGACCGGTGCCGTCCCGGCATGACCTGAGCTCCCGCCTGACCGATGTCAATACCGCGCGCGCAGGCACCGGGTCCACGACCACCCGGCACTGTTCTCGTCGACCGTGCAGGCCGGCCAGCCGCACTGGATCCACAGTCCGCCCGACGACCTCTACAGCCGGGGCATGCTCGACTGCCAGTTCAAGTGAGTCCTCCCCGCACCGCCTCCGCGCCTCCCGACACTCGTGAGGAGAGAGGGCCACCAGCGCCAGGCAGACGGCGCGCTCCCGACACCCAGAGGGGGTCGCCGGCGCCAGGCAGACGGCGCGCTCCCGTCACCCTGAGGGAGGCCGCTGGCGGCAGGCAGACGGCGCGCTCCCGACACACAGAGGGGGGCCGCTGGCTCCAGGCAGGCGACGCTCTTCCCGACACCCGTGAGTGGGGTGCCGGCGCTAGGCGACCTATCTTATCGATTTCGGAGCCCTTGGGATCTGTTTGTTACGAACATCCATTTGTTCGTGTCGGCGGGGGACGATATCTTGCACCAAATCAGTTCAGCTTTGTCGTGGCTAAGTGGTCGTCATTAACGCCCCAGCAGTTTCGGACGGAAAAAATAACCGTGCGGTATGCTATGGGCTGCGCCTGCGTTGTCTTGTTTAACCTTCACCCATGAAAGGACAACCAGGAGTGCCCTCCCCCACTATCCGAGCGACGCAACAAAGAGAACAAAGCACGCGGTAATACCAGAGAACGTGAAGAACAGGTCGTGGCACTCCCTGCTAAGAGGTGGTGGTGTGAGTGTGCTTAAAAAGAGCCAGAAGTAGAGCAGGACCAGTGCTGTAAAAAATGTAAACACCATATATAACGGAAGGCCAGAGCTATAGTCATTACTGAAGTCATCGATACCTGTTCACCAAATCATCGTGGAGGGATGCTCATCCCTACATTCGCCACTTGGGTTCAGGAGCACAGTAGTCGATTGGGCTGGGTACAGCTGGTTGTTTTCATCCCTTTGAATGAGTTCGTTCAAGTGAGCGGAGCTTTCTGTTTGATTAACTGAGGGGGCCATTGTCACGTGTATTGATTACGCCCGCGCCTTGTTGGGGGCGTGTCGTTGTTTTGCCCTTGTGATTGTGACAAAATCCGTTCATTGCGACTTCAGCCCGACTCCGAGCCAAAAGCCTAACGAGACAGAATGTTGGTCATGTGCCCGTCAGCGGGAGGCGGCTCCGGACCTCAGGTGGGACCTCTGGTGGGACCTCTGGTGGGACCTCTGGCGGGACCTCTGGCGGGGCTGCTGACGTCGCCGTGGGCCGTCAGCTGGCACCGGCTCCGAGGACCTCTGGTGGGACCTCTGGTGAGACCTCTGGTGGGGCCGCTGACGTCGCCGTGAGCCGTCAGCCGGCACCGGCTCCGGGGACCTCTGGTGGGACCTCTGGTGAGACCTCTGGGGGGACCGCTGACGTCGCCGTGTGCCGTCAGCCGGCGCCGGCTCCGGGGACCCCTGGCGGGACCTCTGACGGGACCTCTGGTGGGACCTCTGGTGGGGCCGCCGGCGTCGCCTTGTGTCGTTAACCAGCGCCGGCTCCGGGTCGGGTCCACCGGCGTCGTTACCGGGCCCGGCTGGCGTGCGTCACCAGCCACCGCCTGGGCGGGCGATTGATCTCCGTGTTGACGCCCGACGGCCGGCCGGTGGCGTGCCGGCCGGCCGTCGCCGCCGGCGGCGGCGTTGATGGGACCGGCGTCACGCACCCGGCCACGGCCGTCACACCGGCGACGAACGGCAGCAGTGACGGGACGGGGGAGGCGGCAGAGCTGGTGACGGACACGGAGGGGGAGGGGACAGAGCCGGTGACGTTGACCTATGAGGGGGCAGAGCTGGTGACGTTGACCTATGAGGGGGCAGAGCCGATGACGTTGACCTATGAGGGGGCAGAGCCGGTGACGTTGACCTATGAGGAGGCAGAGCCGGTGACGTTGACCTATGAGGAGGCAGAGCCGGTGACGGACACGGAGGAGGGGGGGGGGGGGGGGGCGAGAGGGGGTACAGGGCCGGTGACGGTCACGAAAGAGGTGACGGAGCCAGGAACGGACCCACAGAAGGGGGCAGAACCCATGACGGACCCGGGGGAGGAGGCGGACTAATGACCGGCCTGGAGGAGGAGGGGGGGGGGGGAGGGGGGAGGGAGGGGCCGCTTATGGGAGTTTTCGAAACGCTTGAGCACTACCTGGAGTTTCATTGGAAAGACAGGGGAAGTGATGCTTCTCCGGCGGCCAGAGGGGGACGCATCTAGTACGGCGAAAGGATGGCGAGGGACTTTACTCTGATCCGGCTGAGGCTTATATGGTCCGGTGCAAGTCGTTGTTGGGCTTCTCGACACAGCTCGAAATTGCTCTAGGTGCGCGACGCAGCCCACGCTTTTTTAAACATGGTGCGTTCATCTGGACAGGACTTCGCCAGGTAACAATAGAAGTGGTGCCGGTATCGTACCCGAAAGGAGACCCCGCGCAAATGAACTTGTTAGCGGGACCTGATTGGCCCGACCGGTGCACATCGGTGGTGCGGACAATTGAAGGGTTTGTTGGCGGCCGGTCGCCAGGCGACTTGCGCGGTCCAGATCCGACTTCCAGTGCAGTGCGGGGCGCGTGTAATGTGCCAGTGCTCAGCCGTATGTCCTGAGTCCGAGGGAGGCGGCCATGACCGCCATGCGCCGCGGCTGAGTTAGCGGCCCGGGCTGGGAATACCCCGGCTGTTGGTGCATTGCGCAGGCGCTGGTACACGTACCCTGCTGCAGCGGTCACTCGCAGACGCGGATAGTTCCTGGGAAAACATTGACCCATGTGTAGTGTTGGTCGGACCCTGGGCTGCACAGTGCCGATGCCTTTGGCTCGTACTGACTACTGGTAACACGTGGGGAATTTTAGCGTTAATTATTCAGTTTCCATCGCTTACTTTTGGCATACCTACCTGGCAATTATGAAAACAGTGGAATATCCTCAGTACGTGACCTATATATGACTTGCAACACCAGTGTACGATTGTGCAGATGCCTGAACGTACCCTTACAGAGCCGTTATGGGCCGGCGCTTGAGTGTGCCCAGCAGCCTCGTCTCCAGTGGTTTGTGGCACTGCTGGGTGTCTGTCGGCTGTCTGCCGAGGATGGGTGCTCGGCTCCAGCCGTCCAGCTCGTGCTGCGCCGCTCACGGCCGGCCCCGCCCCGCTCGGCCCGCCAGGTTCCAGCACACCGAGTCGCTGGTGCCATGCACCGTCACCAGTCGCGCGCACAACCCCTGGCACCGCGCGCCCAGCGTCGACCACCTGACCGTGTCGCTGGTGCAGCCTCTGCGGGCGCTCACCCCCGGACAGGTGAGGCGCTGGTGTGGCTATGGTGCTGGTCCCATCAGGTGAGGTGCTGGTGTGGCCATGGTGCTGACCCCATCAGGTGAGGCGCTGGTGTGGCTATAGTGCTGGTCCCCATCAGGTGAGGTGCTGGTGTGGCTATGGTGCTGATCCCATCAGGTGAGGCGCTGGTGTGGCTATGGTGCTGGTCCCATCGGGTGAGGCGCTGGCGTGGCTATGGTGCTGATCCCCATCAGGTGATGTGCTGGTGTGGCTATGGGGCTGACCCCCATCAGGTGAGGCGCTGGTGTGGCTATGGTGCTGATCCCATCAGGTGAGGCACTGGTGTGGCTATAGTGCTGGTCCCCATCAGGTGAGGCGCTGGTGTGGCTATAGTGCTGGTCCCCCATCAGATGATGTGTTGGTGTGGCTGACGTTAACGCAGACCACTTTGCCAGGTGGGTGTTGTGTATATGTGTGTGTGGAGGGGGGGGGGGGGGGACTTTCCGCTTCTTTTGCCCCTGCAGTCAACATCGTCAGAGACCAGAGGCGGTGTGCGCCGGTGTGCCTGTGAGCCGTCCGACCTGTGGCCTGCGCTGGGCACGTTCTGGCCGCTGTGTGGGGCGGGGTCGCCAGGGCCACTGCGGCGGTGCACGTTGCTGCATATGCCCGCGGCCACGAGCTGGCATTGATCGTGCACGGCTGGAAGGTCGAACGGCAGAGGCGGCGCGGCAGTCCGCCACGATTTGCCGTGACGCAGGAATCGGTCAGGGATTACCAGTAAGGGGCCGGGAACGACCTGGAATGGGTGTTTTCGCGTCAGGCACGCCAGGTCGCGTCAGGCACTGGCAGCGCCTGCTGTCGCGGTGCGGCACTCGTCAACGTCAAAGCCCGTGGGAAATCATGAATGAATGAAAGCCATTGTTTCAACCCACTCACGTTGATGTGGCTGCACGCGTCAGTGTTCAGTCTAAGCCTGTGCGTGGCACTGGGACTGCGGGAGCGCCCCGGCCGCTCCGGTGAACAGGGTGTGACCTGGGCTGACCTCGTGCTTCAGTTTGGCGTGTTCTACCGCGGGGACGAGTGTCTCGGCTCGGCGCGAATCACGCGGCCCGGCCCGTCCCAGTACGCCTTGGACGTGGATAGCTGCCGCACCAAGCGCCACGAACGGTGACCGCGCCGAGCCGTAGCCAGAAGCCGCGGCCCCCGGCGGGGGAGGTCGGGCCGACCCAGCACGCCGGCCGCGCGGCGTGGGACGGGGCGGGACGCCGCGCCCAGTCCGGCTCCTGCAGCAGGTCGGCGAGTGTCCTGGCCGGCGCCTCGTTAGAACTTAGACCATTTACCTGTTGTCTGGTGATGTGTTGTGGCTGTTGCGTGTTGTTGGGTGGTGCCCTGATGGAGCCAGACGGCGGCGGCCGTGTCGTGCCGGCGTCCGTCGCCTCCCGCCGTGCCGGTGCCGCCCTGGACGTGCCGCCGGGGCTCACCGGACCACGGTCGGGGCGTATTGACGCGGCGCCTGACATTGTCGGCCGGCCTTCATTGCTATGGTGCTGCCGTGCAGCGGTCAACAGCTGACCGCGGCCCTCCTTTGTCGCCCCCCCCCCCCCCTCCCCCTGAAGCCGAACACTGCGGACGCCGCAGAAGTGGGTCTGGGGCGGAAATATACTCGTGTGTGGCGTATCAGATACTGGTCTTTTGTGCAATATTGACTGAAAATTTGGAATGTGTGTAGGTATCGTGAGTGTCTTCACTGTGTATTGTATATGTGTGAGCTCGATAAACGTAGCGAACTTTGTGGTCTTTATTATCAGCTGCAGCCGCCCACCTTCACGCCCGCGCCGTTGCACAGGAGAGCATTGGTGTCCGTATTGGGATCGTACAATTTTGGTGTCGTTCGCTTGTAGAGACGTATAGTCAAAGTCAATCCTTGGTCGTTCATTTTACTGCAAAGTACTACGTTTGAGAATGCCAGTGACATGGGAATTTGGTCTCCTTGATTGCGGGGTGTCATGTGCGAGGTGCGATCTTACGGATTGTTTGGGACGAAGTGTGTGTACTTGTGAATATTCACTCATGACTATTAACTTCACCACTCACGTTATCGTTCACACGACGTTTTGACCATTACGGATCTGATCCGTGTCACGGCCTGGAAAGTATTTGGAGGCCCCGAGACTTGAATCCTACCATCTGATATTGCATAAACGCACGGAATATGTAGTCCACTTTGACAGTGCGGTAGTGAGTGTCACTTGCTGGGAATCGCAAGATCGTTGGTTTGAAGCTCGGAGCCGGCTGTGGTGCACGTGTTCCAAGCGTCATCAGGCTATCATCATGACAGACAAACACCTGATGACGGCCGGAAGATAAACGTCCAAAGCGTTGTGGAAACGATGGTGCCATTGGCGACAATAGTCCGGACAATTATGCCAGCTATATGCAGCTTGCGAACGACGACTAATCTGCACAGTGTGTCCTTTGATGATCGTATCAAACAACTACGACGATGGCGTTACGCAACAAGGCCTCACGGACAAAGTCAGCGTAGGTCTGTTTGCAGCAGCTGGCGGAGCGGCGGACACAACTGCAACCAGGGGCGCAGTTTCACAAAATGAGTTAGCGGACCAAACAGTGGAAAATGGCCCAACCTGTCCCCAAAATATGCCAACAGACAGCCTTCTCCCGGGATTTTGCACACTTCCTAAACTTGGAGATGGGGCGTCAGCCCCCTCCCCCAACTGAATAGGAAACTACCCCTTGATCACAATGTTTCCAATCCACCAGAGGTTCGCGTCACCGCTGCCAAAACAAGCGGCGTTGTTTCTGTGAACGGCGTTGGGATTCCTTCGGAGGTCAACACGTGTGAGAATTCGGCGAAGAGTTGTGAGCTTAAAGCGCACGAGTGTCGGAAACGACTACGGATCACTGTGCATTGCCTCCATGAGTCGCCCAGTCAACAACACGGTGCGTTGGCGCGGCCGGCTCGGTTTCCTGGTGTCCGATCGATGCTGGGCGACTGAAGGTTACACCAGGCGGCCGGTTATTTATTCACGGGCGCCGCTGACCGCGCGTCGTGGGCAGCGCGCCCGACGCAGTGTAGTGGCGCCGGTCGATGGTGTACCGAGCCGGTCCCACGCGTACGCACCGGCTGGAGCGGGCGGCCGAGGTCACTGGTCGGCCCCGAGGACAGGTCACTGGTGACAGCGGGATCGCCGACCGCGGCCAGCGACGGGCCGCAAGCCAGAGACGGCCAACACTTTTACTAATTGTCAAAGTTAGCTAGAAGTTTGCAACCCACGCGACAGGGTGCAACGAAGTTGCGGTGTGTTGGCAAGGTCCAACATAGCAACCAACAGACTTGGCTTTTGCAATACGGCTCTCCCTGCTGAATTCCATGCGATAGCCTGCTGAGCGTATTAAGTATTGAGTCCTTACTAGAAACGCGCTGGTGCACTTTGTTGTGATCTAGATTGATCCTCGAAAGACGCTGGCAGTGATTTCGGGTGGACCTGATGTGCCGGCCTGGACCGCAGGCATCATGCATGCAGCACACGGCGCCGTTCAAATGCTGTGGTGCTGAGGAGGCGTAAGAAGTGTGCAGCAGGACGGCCGGCGTGCGGTACTGTTGGCTACGCACGGTTGTGGAACCCTCACTAGGTCATAATGTTCAGAAGCCGGCAAACGTGACAGTGAATGGAACTTATTAAAAGATGTTGGTCGCAACGCGTCATTTACCGTTGCCTGGCCCTAAAATGCGAGTAATACTTGGACCGGGCGTTAGGAGATGTGAAATAGTCGGTCGAAACGCAAACCTGCTGACTTAAACGTCACTCCTCTACTCGCCTCAGTGCCAACACTGCCTCAGCGGAACGAAAAGCAGAAGCGCTCTATCTGGCTCGCGAGAATCCCTTTATATTACAATTCTGAAGCGTTGGCCGTGGCGTCGCTGGTCTGACGCTACGCTGGAGGTCGGCATGTGTAGTTAACGTGAACCGCGCGCATCGCGCGTCAGCTTGGTGCGCCGGAGTTGTCGCAGGTGTTCGCGGGAGGCACGCATCGCACGGCTTTCTTCAGTGCCGATTGAAGCCCTTTTCGAAGGCGTGTTTTGCACTATTTTGGCATGCTGTTTGAGTTTATCATTAATTGATCGAGCCGTGCATTGTTAAGAACTGACAATGTCCAAAGATGGCTCGTTGTTCTCGCTGTAAGATGTCGAGACGGTGAGGGCGGAGGGCCTTCATTCAAGAAGAACTAGGGGGTTTTACGTCGCTTTTCTAACGCAACGTTTTGTACCAAATACGACCGATCATAATACAATATCTTATCCAGACAATGGTCTGCTCCCAGATTTTGTCAATGGCTTGACAACTTCGAACAACTGTTCTTTCGATAGTAATTCAGTTCGTGTGTGTGCATCAAAAAGCGACGTGACGTACGTGGCCTAGAGCTCCAATTGGGCTGAAGCCGTGCGTCACAAAGCGCCAGCCGCTGTTGCAGCGCACTTAAGGTTGGCATGCTCGATCGATTCCCCCGCTGACTCAGGAACATTGCATCCGCCGTCCTTGGGGGCATCGCCGGAATATGGCTGCGAGCCGCGATGGCAACTTTAGCCCCCCTCCTGGTAAGATGTTAGTCGAGCCAGCAGACCAGGGCCGACTGTCCCGCATTGCTGCCGAGTGGAGCACGGCGCCGACCGGGCGTCGGCAAATCCGTCGCGGACTGCTGCGCAGCGTCTGCTCAGAAACGAGGCACTAATGTATCGATACTGTATGCCCAGCGCGTATCGCCATGTTGCCCAGGTAACGGCATACGGATCAGTGCTGCGCGCGGCCCCCGGACTGACGGCTCACGTGAGGGGGAGACGGTCTGGACGGGATCAGAATCCAGCAGTCCAGCGGCACGCGCGCTGCAGCTGGCGGCGCTCGCTGACTGCGCACCCCCGACGCGGCCTCCTACAGAACGGCGCGGCCATCGGGTCTCGGACGCGACACATCGCGGGGCCAATAGCGATCGCACGACGCGAGGCAGGACCCCCGACCACGGCTGGAACGTCATCACCTCGTATATCACCGGTCATATTGTACCACGCAGGAGTCCCGCTCCGGGTCCCGGACAGGGAGGAGCTGTCCGGCGCGTCACCAGCGTACCACAGAGCACATCAATAGTCGCGACCGTGGCGTGGCTGATCGTCAGCATGCTGCCGATGCAGTCCTGCTGTCTGCAGATCGACACAACAGCGCCGCTTGTTTCCATGTCGCCCGCAGTAATGTCATGGCTGTCTCACAGCACCCGGCCGTCTCGGTCTAATAATCGGTAAAACCGGAGAGGCGCGCTTGCTCTGGGCTTACATTCCGCGCTCGCTTCATCCCTGCCAGTGCGGCTCACTCTCTGGCAGAGAGCGCACACTGGCACCGTCTGCGTGTGAAGCGAATCCTCCCGCCAGTACAGTCCTCACGCGCCATAGTCCTCCTGCCGCAGTCCTCAGGTTGCCAGGGTCCCCCGCTCGCGCGGTGAGCACAGAGTGCCGGACCGCCTGGGACGGGGCGGAGTTCGACGACGACGGCGGTGGCGGTAGCGGCGGCGGCGGCGGCGGCGGCGGCGGCGGCGGCGGCGGCGGCGGCGGCGGCGATTATAGCGGGATGAGTTTCTCGAAGTCACGCTCGATGCTGGCCAGGATCTGCTGGTCCTGGTGGTCGTACTCGGGAACAGCCACGTTTGGTCGCGCGCTGCAAGAGAGCGGCGGTGCAGTCGTCACCGGCCGCGGGCCGTGCAGAACGCTCGGCCAGCGACAGAGACGCTACGAAGGAGCACTCTCATTGACACCACCTCTATATGCATCCCATGTAGGACATATCTGAAACTAGTAAATACCACACTCATGCCTCTCATGGGGGTTTCACGGCGAATAATCCACCCTTGTATCTCGTAGAATCGTTACACGTATTCATTCATTCGGCCACGTGTCGGTCACGATGAATGAATAGTTCCGCGTTTAGCATTTGTAAGTCGCGTAGACGCCGGCCGCATGCGAGCATCCGAGTACGACAGATGCGCACACGTGGCTGCTGTGGTCACGCTATTATCTTACTGAGTGCATTACCAGGTGAGACTGAACCAGCCTGTAGTGCCGGGTCCGCAGGTGAGCAGGTGAGACTGAACCAGCCTTTAGTACCC